CAGCCTGATGTCAGCCTGATGTCAGCCTGATGTCAGCCTGATGTCAGCCTGATGTTAGCCTGCAGTAAGCCTGATGGTAGCCTGTTGTTAGCCTGATGTTAGCCTGTTGTCAGCCTGATGTTAGACTGATGTTAGCCTGCAGTAAGCCTGATGGTAGCCTGATGTTAGCCTGCAGTAAGCCTGATGTTAGCCTGTTGTTAGCCTGTTGTTAGCCTGCAGTAAGCCTGATGTCAGCCTGATGTCAGCCTGATGTCAGCCTGATGTCAGCCTGATGTTAGCCTGATAGTAGCCTGATATTAGCCTGTTGTTAGACTGATGTTAGACTGATGTTAGCCTGCAGTAAGCCTGATGTTAGCCTGATGTTAGCCTGATATTAGCCTGATGGTAGCCTGTTGTCAGCCTGATGTTAGCCTGATGTTAGCCTGCAGTAAGCCTGATGGTAGCCTGTTGTTAGCCTGATGTTAGCCTGTTGTCAGCCTGATGTTAGACTGATGTTAGCCTGCAGTAAGCCTGATGTTAGCCTGTTGTTAGACTGATGTTAGCCTGATGTTAGCCTGATGGTAGCCTGTTGTTAGCCTGATGTTAGCCTGTTGTTAGACTGATGTTAGCCTGTAGTAAGCCTGATGTTAGCCTGTTGTTAGCCTGATGTTAGCCTGTTGTTAGACTGATGTTAGCCTGTTGTTAGCCTGATGTTTGCCTGTTGTTAGCCTGATGGTAGCCTGCAGTAAGCCTGATGTTAGCCTGATGTTAGCCTGTTGTTAACTTGATGTTAGCCTGTTGTTAGCCTGATGTTAGCCTGATGTTTTAATGCTAATGTTGAGAGCTTTCAGGTGTGACACAGTGGAGTCTTTCTCACCTGTCCACCCAGGATGCTATCCACTGCATTAAAGCAGCTTCCTGCAGCCAGCTGGGCACACTGGAAGCTTTGGTTGTTGATGAAAATGGAGGTGAACTCATTTCCCAGTCTGTGAAGGTCTCGAAGCTTCATCGTGGCCGTTGCCTTCATGTGCTGGATGTGCTGCACACTGAAACACACAGAGTCAGCAGAGCTCTGAGGACGTCCCAGCAGCTGGTGCACAGACCTGCAGCACCACCTCACCTGTGACACATGGCCAGCTCCTCCTCTGTCGCCAGGCGAGCTGGTATCTGCACGCAACGATCGACCAATCCCAGCTGCTGATGTTTGTTAAAGATCTTAAAGACCCTCTGTGGCTGTTCAGGGTGGTGTCTGCCATGATCACATGACCGTGTTAGTGTAACCATGGCTACATCAGAGCAGGCTTACAGTCAGGAAGCAGGTAACTCACCTGTCCCACAGATTTTCATGCTCCATCATCCTCTCATCATAAACCAGGCCCGTCGTCATGGAAGGAGAGGAGGCGGGAGAAGCAACCGTCGTACTTTTCTCACTGGATGATGTTCTGATGACATCACCGTCAGCCAATGAAGGGCCTTGAAGAAGAAAACATCTTAACTCTCAGATGATGATGATGATGATGATGATGGTGTGTGTGTGTGTGTGTGTGTGTGTGTGTGTGTGTGTGTGTGTGTGT